TAATGGAATTGCAGTTTTTTTTAGTCACATAGTTGGAATAGGGGGACCAGACGATAACCACATGCGCTTTGTCAGTTTGATCCTGAACTACATGCCTCGGGCTAAATTATCTATTATTCTAGTGCATCCACATGTTAACAGAGAAAATGAAATATCTCTCATTTTCAGCTGATGCTTTAAAGATGCACCAGAATACATTTTAAACCACCAAAATGTAATTTCTCAGTTACCTGAGGAATGATAAACCTTCCAGTAAGAAGACAGATAGCAGGAAGTATGCAGTAAGCAAGCAGTGGAATAGAGGTGAGCGGATAGACAATGGTGTTAATGTATGCAAGCCTCTCCAAGACCTTCAGCCTTCCATTGTAGCCATACCATATTGGGCAATGCCTGCTCAGAAGAATTTCAATGGATCCTAAGGCCCATCGAAGGACCTGGTTCAAACGATCAGAAAGATTGATGGGAGCAGACCCCTTAAATGCTGGACGGGGAGGCATGCAATAGATTGAAATCCATCCTCGCGCATGCATCTTGAACCCAGTCAAAATATCTTCAGTCACAGAACCATAGATCCATCCAATCTGATTGTAAAGAAAAAAGCTCAATCAATTTGATTTTTAAGTTGCAAAATACAATCACTAAAGCGGCCAAGTGCATGCTTTAGATGCCACATTTGTATCATTACTACCTCTTTCCCCCATTCAGTCTTGTCCTCATATCCACAACTAATAACATGGATTGCTTCTTTTAGAAGAGTTGCAGGATTGGTTGTTGGTGGAATCCCTCCCTGCTCCATGAAGGTGGCAGCAATAAACACTGGCGATTGACCAAACCGCTTTTCTAAGCCCTTCTGAGACATAAGCAGCAACTTCTCATCATCATATCCTGAAAAATACATGAAAAGCAGTCAACATAAAGAACATGAAAGCATAACTCACTGAATATCTCACTCAATTAGTTTCTGTACCAGTCTTTGAGCAATGACGTGGTAGTTAGGGAATCTCACCTAAATATATCAAGGCATGCAGGTTCCCCGCTCATATAGGTTAGAAATTCAACTTATTAAAAGTTAAAATACGTTAAAAATTTTCAAAGTTTTAGAAATATTTTTTCAGATTACTGGAATGGGAAAACTCCCATGGAAAGTAGTCAAAAATGGATAAGATGACTCTATCTTGTACCGTTCCATCTAAAATCTGGTACAAGCTTCTAAAGTTTATATGAATAACAGTCACTTATATTGGGAGATTTTTTCGAATAACTGGTAGATAAAACCTCAAAATAAGAGAATCACAATGAAAATAAAGTCAAAAACGTGATCTGAAATCTCTCTCCCTTTCCTTGTCCATCTCCCTGCATAGCAGTGAATGTGGGTGGGTGGGTGGGTGCATGCATGCAGGCATGTCGGTGCATGTGTAATTTCAAGTCTTCAGCTCAATTGATGAAGTCTATTAGTTTAAAAGAGAGGTGATGAACATACAGAAAAGGCCTACCTTCAACAGCCTCTTCAATGTCTTCCATACTAAAAATGGGAATGGAGGATTCAGTTCTTTTTACTTCCCTCTTCTTATCAATGTATTTCTTGTTGCCACTGCTTCCCTTCTTTCTTGAGCCACAACAACTCTTGACAATAATGTTTGGCTCCAAATCTGCCTCCGTTAAGACTGGATCATACCCATACAGAGCTTGCCTGTTGAAACAGCATCCAGTGCCCACGTAGACTGGACCCTGAATGCCATCTAGCCCCTTCAAGTTGATCTGCAACACAATTTAAGCAAAACTGAATTTAGTCATAAGCATAATGAAAATGAATGTTGATAAGAACAGTTGCCATGGTGATGACACATCAAGTTAACCTACATCAAAGAAGACAATATTGCGATTAGCATATCGATCATGCAAGTCAATGCCATCAAACCGCTGGGGGAACTGAACATAGCATGTTTTCTTTCCAAGAACAGGATCCATCATAAAACACATGGCTTCCTTGAGAGCTTTGCTGTTGTTGAAGTAGTGATCACAATCGACATTCAAAAGATATGCACCATTTGTAAGGACAGCAGAAACTCGAATCTGCAGAACACCAACAAGAAGAATAAATAGTTTACGAGAGACATGAAACCCCTTTTTCGAATTTACATTTTAATGGAAAAAGGACAGGTTCAGCAAGTCTTGGCTCAAAGCCCTCCATCTACATCAGCTCACGAATTACATTCCGAAAAATATGACGCGGGCAGCCGCTGGATCCATTCAACCAGAAAAAGAAAAAAAAATGTGCCCATTCATCACCTATGTGCTCCTAAGATAATTCGGTATCCACTGTATAATTACTGTGGCCATGTGGTCAATCACAAAAATAATAAGATCAGCTCATGTTAGAGGGGAGCTTAGATTAACAAGACAGTAGACCTTGAACTGAAAGCGTTCAATGGCATCAGTTTGTTGGCGATTCATTACATCCATCCAATAATGGGCACTAATAAATCATTTCCCATCATCAGACCAACATTGAATTCTTATATGTTACTTGTGATCATGTATGACCTGGTCATTTCAAAATAGTAGACCCCATAATATGTGTATATGTTATTTAGGACATTATTACGAAGTGCACAAGAGCCACAGGGATCACTAACCAAAGCATTCATAGCTCCTGCTTTCTTGTGATGTTGGAAGCCTGGACGCTTTTCACGAGAAACATAAACCAGTCGTGGTAGCTCATTTCCATCGGTATCAAGGCCCCCACTGTGCCCTAAGAACACCTTTCCGCTCATAAAAACAAAGAACAAATTAGCAAGAGGCAAAATAGAAGAGAGGCTCGACGTTACAGACATTCAATAACACTGACGCACCTGGATCATTCCTGGATGATCCCTAGGGTTATTTCCAGGCCAAGGAGTTCCATCTTGCATTGTCCAACCCTCTTCAGGCATCTTTTGTGCTTTGGCAACAAGCGCATTGATTCTTACCTTGAATTCTTCGTATTCTCTCTGAGAAACAAGAAGTTTACCAAGTTCTTACTCTAAAAAAAGAAACTTAAAGTTTGCCTGCCACTTTGTCTAGGTAAATCTTTATGCGCCATACCAGAGGTTTCTAAAATTGCAAACAGCTGACTTCCTTTTTAACAACATAACAAAAGCTACATTACCTCTTGAAAAGGGCAAGCCTTCTAAGTTCTAACATAATGAAAAAAACATGAAGCAGCATAAAAGTTACCAGGACAATATGCCACTAAAGCTTCACTGTGGGAGGACAATTCTGTATTCTATAATCTTTAGATTATATAAAAATAAAAATCTAAAAGAACACAAATAGCTTTACAAAAATTTTCTTCTGGGTGAGGAGTGGAGACTGGGGGCACACGCAGGCAGTCACACACAGACAGCGGGGAAAAAAGCATCTCGAGTAAAAAGCAATATTGTAATACTCTGTATCTCAGTATTAATTCATAATCAGGTGTTTCTATTTTCAGCTTTCTCAGCAGATTGCAAATGCATTTTTAACTATGTGTTATTCATAATATGTCTTACAGCCAAAATTTTTGGTAGAATTTCTTAAAGATTCCTGGCTTTGCACAAAGCTATGCACCTCATTTCTTTCTAATTATGGGTGTTTTTATCTCCAACACATCATACTGTCCACTAAGTCAATTAAGTTCGGAATTCACTATATCACGTCTAAACTACAAGCAACAACCTTCAAAAAGCATATTCAGGATGATACCCAATATTATATCAAACATGAACCATCAGCACATGACTTATCTCATACCTTCATTGCCCTGCGCTCTTTCACGAAAGAAGGCTGTATCTTGTCCTTCAGATAATCTATCTTCTGAGCAAAATAGAACTCAGGGGCCCTAGGCTCAATGTTGTGCTTCTTGCAGAAGGGCACCCATTTCCTTGCAAACTCTGCCGTCTCAGAGAGGGCTTCAAAGGTTAACATTGCTGAACCATCATCTGAAACGTAACATGAGACTTTGTCGACAGGGTAATCCACGGCAAGAATAGACAATACAGTGTTGGCAGTAACAATAGGTGGCTCTATCAGAGGGTCCACCGTACTGACAAATACATCAATAGGTGCTAACTGAGAAGGCTCGCCTTCCCTATCATATCTGGAAAGGTAACAATCTTAATTAACCTCATAATAAAACCAATGCAATAGAGATCTCTGTAGATTAGAAACCCCCCTAACAACAACATAAAGGTGTTTTACAAAAGACCAATCCGACTGACCTCAAAGCAAGCCTCTCCAGGTAGGTCTCACGGTTGATGGGAAACCATTTTGGAAACTGATCCAGAAGCCAGGATAATGCAAACCAAACCTCGCAAATAACTGATGTCAGCCACAAGGGATAAGCATCCTTCACTGGATGAGTACACCGGTATTGCAAGAAGAACCCCAAGATAATCAACCGAAGTATGATTACAACACGATAAGGGGTAAGGTGGGTAGAAGAAATAGGCACCACACGACTCAAAGGTTGGCGAGCATCATCAGCCCTGACACAGAGAACCAATGAACAGTCTTGAACGTTGTTAAGAAACAAATGCTTACTTGACAAAATATATTGTAATTTTCTTTTCTAAAACAAGTCATGGAAAATCTCCATGTCTATTCTAAGTAATAACAAAATGAACTATGAAGATGTCAAAACAATAAGCTATATTACTGAGAAGAAACCAAAAACTTATAGTTAATAGTCAAAACAATCAAAAGAAACCTTACCGAGAAAGAGAAGAAGAATTCCAACCATTCAACCAATATATCATATACATGTATTCTCAACCAAATGCATGTGCCACCAAAAAAAACAAATGAACACAATGGATTCATTTCAAATGTTCTTTGGTAGACATTATCCCCCTTCAAGCAGCAGGTATGACAAACAAAATATAACTTAATTCTCAAGTAATTTCATATATACCTTTCAGTCATCTGTGACATTTTTAGTAAGTAGCCTACCACAAGCTAAAGATACTTATGAGTAAGATGCTCACATTTGCAATTCTTCTCCATTCGACCCTGTGCCTTCGATGTCTCCTTTCCCTTCACTGTATCTGTTGGTCATTTGTGTGATATTTTTCTCCTGTTTCATTTTCCACCCTTCTACCCTTTCCTTCCAGTCAACATTGCCAAGGCCATAAGAATTCAAGTCTTTTGCAGGGTCCACAATTCTCACAGGAACTGCATAGAAATATGGCATGATCAAATGACTGTCAATTGAATAGGAAAAATTGTTGGAGAATTTCAATTCAACAGATTCAAGTTAGGAACGCACCCGGCTGCCTTGGATCAAGATATTGAAGTGAGTGAACATGCTTGTCACTAGGGCCCAAAGGACCTGATGTACTGCGCACGGATTGAGTGTCTGGGGTAGCAATGGGAATTTCACCAGATGCCTAAAAATTTTGGCAAGAAGATTAGAAAAATATTTTAAAACAACATTGGCCATGAATGATTGCAGGTGGAACCATATCATATGATACGCCACAATACACCTGAAAAATAATATGTATCATATCTCTGTATTATTTTTGCACCGTATCATACAATGCATATGATATGTGAAGATTCTATTTTTTTATTTTTTTATTTTTGTTTTTTGGGATTGAAATGAAATCGTTTCACTCCAAGACTTATTTTTAAATCACTATCCAGTGAAACAACGTCGTTTCAGTAGTTATGGTTAAAAACAAAAAAATAAAATCTGTTGTTAATGTTGTTTAATTGAATTCAAAATTTCTGATTAATATTAAGGTTGTTCAAACAGTTGATGTTAAAAATTTGAATTAGAGGTTTTTGTATTTTGATATTAATGAACTATATTGGGAACTTGAATAGTTGATGAAATATTAATGAAATGCTATGTTATTATGATTCTATGATTTTTTTAAAAAGTATATATATATTTTATTAATAATTATTTAAAATTGCGCGTATCTTATGATACATGATACACGATATGATATGATACACTATTTTGAAAATGATACGCTTTTCGATACTCGATTTGACAACCATGGGTGGAACTATATTTAATACAAAACTTCAACCTTGAATAGATCAGTAATGTTAATGGCATGAGTTTATCACAGAAGGAAAACGAAAAAGGAAAACAATCAAACTCTCTTCAACAAAAATTCAAAAATTCTTGCAAAATTATATTTAACTACTTTTTGCAGATTTTTTGCAGACTTGTTCTCTTTTTTAGTGAAACTTCGTTGCTTACTGAAAAAAATTCTCTATGAATAACTGTTTTGTAACGTTGACCAATACTTAATGAGCAAACATGATATTTCAGTAAAAAACCTTTTACTTGTTGACTAAAACATGTAAGAGATTTTGACTGCACCAGCCAACATCCAGTATTGTTAGAGTATGTGTGGCTTATATTTGCTGTGTGTACAATGGCAAGGAGGCAGATGTGGGAGTGGATGGAGTGTAGCGGAGCCCGCGATGGCATCTGCCTTGCGGGATTGATATATTTTATGTATGGGGGGACGCTGATTAGTTGGGGGTGCGGGGCAATGCCCTCGCGGTACGGTACAGGGGTATTTTATAAATACGTCCGTATTAGGGTTATATAAATACTTAAGATGTAACCCGACTTTAAATAATGAAAAAGAACGGCCGCTAGCTCTTGTGGATGTAGGCACATTACCGAACCACGTAAATCTCTGTGTTATTTTCTCTTGCTTTCTTAATTGTTTGATTCCTTATTATTCACCATAATTGCTGCACGATCACAACAAGTATACAACTACAAAAACCAGTATCGGGAATAACCCAATGGACAATAGATCAAGCATTGTTTAGATTAAATAATATTTATTACCTTCCCTGGTCCTACTGCAGCTCAAAATTGAGAATCAATTTTTCAAGCAATGTGCAAGATTGTAGAACATTTGGCCGGACTAGAAACAAGTGTAAGAAAGAAAGGAAGCACGATTGAGAAAAGCTAAGAAGTATTATTATCTGAATGGTAAACAATAGAAAACACCGAAAGACTGAGAAGGCATACAGAACTATTCAAACTCCAAGTCGGATGTCCAGAAAACACAACATACAGATAGTAGTGACAGTATAAAAGCATCACATTTCGTCACTTACAGGCTGCCCATTCATAAGAAGGGGAATCGGTGGGTGAGATTCATGTCTAGAGGATGAAGAGAGATCAGCGTCTTCTCCCCGCCACTGGTGTCTTGCCTTGCTGTTTCCTAGGGCATAATTAAACTCATTCTCCAGATCATCCACGTTGTCTTCTTCATCATCACCATCAACCCGAGGACTTCCTGATAGATGCATGCTAAAATTACTTCTTTCTAAGGAGGTAGGATCTAAAATGGATTTTGAAAAGCAAGCTAACCTTTGTGTCTTTTGTATCTAGTCTTGCACTGGGGACAAGACTGATTTCCATCTTTGCGCTCATACTCATAGCAAGGCCGGCAAACCGGGAAGCCACACTCGTTGCACGCAACAAAGACATCACCCGCAGCTGTTAGTCCAACTGTCTCTCCACAAATCTGGCATATCTGGCCATTCAGATGCTTCAGGGGCTTGGGCTGAAAAATTTATAAGCAATGCACCAAGTAAGTACGAGAGAGATCCCATTCAAACACAAACTGCAACCACTTTCAGCTCAAACTCTCTGTAAGACCGTATTTAGTATGGACCACGACTGGCCTATTTAGTTATGTCCACCTTCAATTCATCCAGATGTATAAGAATTCTACGATCTATCTAAAGTGAAGATCTTCATTTTGAACGCACCCCAGAACACTTTAACTTCTGAAGGCTCTACGCAACTACCAAAACAAAACGGATGAAAGCAGTACATGTAACTCTACCCAGCCTAATATCTCACCTACCTTATTAGTGAATAGCAATAGGATGTGAACTACACAAATGCCAAAAGCAAACAGAAAATGGCAAGATATTAGATAGTGCAGAGGAAGATAGAGAGTTTCCAACTAATTCACAGCAATAGGCCAAAGGTATAAGCAGATCTTAGATAGCACAGAGGAAGACAGAGAGTGAGAGAATGATCTCAGTAAGTAGAGTGGGGGGAGGCAACTTTCACTGAATCAAACCTCAAAACCTCCGATTTTAGCACAATAACAATCAAATTTGATGAGAAAACATATTTTTCAAACAAAAAAAAAAAGATGGAAATGCATCCTGTAATTTCTAAATCATTAAAAACCGCAGTGTACACAAGATCAGAACTACAAGAAACTCGAACTCGAAGAACAAATATCAAATCCCCAACTCTAAATACTCCTCTTTTTGTTATTCAGAAAAAGGAAAACCAAAGAAAATGCTAACCAAAACCAATTTTTGGTCTTAGAATCAAAATTAAACAATATCCATCTCCTGGTTCAGTATAAAAAATGGAACTCGAGCTCAAAATTCAGTGCTCAGACCAGAACCCATCTCCTGATTTAATGTAAAGAAACAAACTTGAGCTAAAAACTCAGTTCAACACAACAAAATAGTCAGATCGAAGAGCCAAAATAATCAGAAATCTCAAACAATTATAACACTGAAAATCCAAATGGGTATTTCCAAAACCCATACCGCACTATCCGAATCGTGCCGAATTCGAACCAACTCGTTCCTGTTGTGTGACCCAGCTACCATTCCGGCACTTGCCTCCATTTCTCTTCAAGAAGCAATGGATTACAATGTCAAATGTAAAACGATTTTACAAGTATTCATCAATTTATGATTTGATTGGAGACAAATCTTGGTAAAAAAACAGGGAAAGCAGGAGATGGGTTCTTGCTCAAAAGATGAGTGAGTTTCAGCAAAATGTGAAGATGGGCATTCTCTAAATCTTCGCCAAATTAACTGGCCTTCTCTCTCTCTATCTCTCCTTCTCCTTCCAACCCATGAAAGCTTTGTCTTTTTATTGTTTTCTGTGGATTTTGTTTTTTATTTTAAATCAAACTTTGTACTAAATAAAACGTAAGGATTTTTTTATTGGCTAAAACCGTAGTGGCGGCCCAGCGCAGCTCGGTTTCGGCTTATGGGAGGATCTTGCATCTGACCGGCTCTGGCCTGTGAGCCATGAGAGGATATGATACAGAGTAGTGAGGTACGCTACCGAAAATTATTTATTGAGACGATATCAAAAAAAATTAATTTTTGCTTTTTGCTTTTTATTTAATTTAATTGTGATAGTTGATCGTAAATGTGCGTGTCAGATCCTGCACAATATAAAAAACGAGAACAGATCTCTCCCTTGGTGAACTTCGAGTGTGCCAGTTGAGTGACCAACCACGCCGCTTGGAACAGCCTGCGAGGTCCGGTGGTAACCTGGAACGGCAACGGGAGACCCTGGGTGAGGGAGAGGACGATCCAGTAAGGCTGAAAGGGGTTCCTGGAACAAAGAAGAACAAGTTAGAAGGGCGCCGGAGTGTTTTTCGGCGTATCCCCTCCGACGATCTAGTCAGTCTTTGAATGAGAGAGAGGAAGGAGAAAACACTGAGAAAATGTATTGTAGTAGAGAGTTTGTGATTGCATACCCGTCTTGTCTTTTGCAAGGAGTATTTATACCTTAAAAGCTCATGATTGCTGTCAATGTGGTCAGTAGGTGATCATTAGGTGCAGGTTGTGTGTGCATTGATTCTGATGAGGAATGTCTTCTCTAATTAACTGCTCGGGGTCCCGAGCAATCAATACTGGATCATCGGGATGCCGAAGGTACAATGTGCTCCTCTTGGGGAGGATGCAATAAATGCTCTGTAACAAGAGCATTTATTGCCTTTCATTTCCGAGCCTTACCGCATTGAATGCGGTCTCATCAAGGGAATGGTGTAATTAATTGTTTGTTTTCCCAAAGCGCGTGTCAGCAACAACATGCGGTTTGTCTGTCTTTGATGTGATATCATATGTCACGCGTCCATCCCCTATTGGCTATGACCTCTGTATTCCAGTATACTCTGACATTACTTGTGCAAGACGAGGTCATGATGAATAGCCTAGGCTGATGACTTGTACGTCAATAGCTTATCCTGGAGAAGAGGAAGCGTCTAGGACGGGGTACCTCTCGGCACCGAGGAAAGGCTCATCTCGGGGACCGAGGAAGGTATGCCGACTGAGGTACATATCTGACCGAGGACACGTGTCGGCTGTAAAATATACTGAATGTGTAATCCTATATGACGGTACCTCGGGGGCGAGGGCATTTCGTACGCCGATGGTGCTTGATCCTAGCAACAGTGTTTTAGTAAACCGAGGACACGTGTCTTCATCATAGGGTATTTCAGAAAAGTCCCATCAGTAAATATAATGATTTTAGGGGTGATAATTGTATCGTATTTGTGTCATGTCATTTCGAGTTTATGTCAAGGATTAATCAATTATAATCCAACTCGTTTAATTAATCGTGTCTAATCGAGTCAATCTATTTATTTTTGTGTCGTATTCTTGTTGACATATATAACTTGTGAATAAAATATAAAAATTAAAAATTAACTCAAATTTTTTCGAACCTATGTTCATAATTTTTCTATAAATTAAAAATTAACTTAATAAATATTTTATTCTTATAATACTAGTTAAACAAGTTAATCATGTTAACTTCGTATTGTTTGTGTTTGACAATAATTCGACCTATTTATTATTCGTGTTAATAGATTATATCATTTATGGGTTTGTGTCGAGAAATGCTCGACCCTAACCTACTAATTTAGTATCAATTTCAAATCATATTTTCGTGTCATATCAGAAATTACCATCCCTAATAATGAAGTATGGCAAAATAATTAAATTTTTATATGTATTGCATTTTGAAAAAAGAATAATGACTTAATAAAGTTTTTATTCTGATTTTTAGGGGTCAACTATAGATTTATGTCTTGTCATTGTAATCTATCGAGTGATAATTTTCTCCATCAAACAACTAATTATCTCATTTATGCATAACACATAAAAATTTAGTTTTAAATATTGAAATATATTATCATAATTTTAACATTAATATTTTTTAAGAACAGCAAAGAAAAAGCTTTGCGCTAATTTAGAAAGTTGGGAGTCTTTTAATACTTCATCCATTCCTAAATATATGTTGTTTAAGGTTTTTGTACACTGATTAAGGAAACTATTAAATAACTATAATATGAGTAAAAAATAATTATACAAGATTAAAATATTCTTATTTAATACGTATTGGAAAGAAAAGTAATATAAAAGACATTTAACCTCCACCCAATCTAATGTATTAAAAAGTTAAGGATAAATTTAGAAGAAAAAATATTAATTATGCTTTAATTTCATAAAATGACAAATATTATAGAACAAAAAAATTATATAAAACGACGTATATTTAAAAATGGAGGGAGTTTTTTAAAGTGACTCAAAGAGTGGTGAAGCCGAGCTCAAATCCTAAGAACTCGGCTCAACCACTGAGCTTTCGACACGCACTCCTCTTAACATGCAACCGCTTAACAATACTTTTGACTTTTACCTAACCAGTCTCTGTCTGTACTTCGAGTCACCGCTAGTTCTCCCCCAACTGACCCCAGGGGATGTCGGTGGAGTTCTTTTTTTTTTTTTTTTTGATAAACTGTGATTTTAAAATTGAAGGAGAAGGACGGTGGCCATTAATTTTTTTTAAGAATTTTTTTTATTGGAAAAGTTTATAATAAAATTATGATTTTTTATGATTAAATTATACTTAATACTACATCCGTTCTTAAATATCTATCGTTTAAGATTTTTTCCTATGAATTAAGAAAGTTATTAAATAACTTTAATATGAGTAAAAAATAATTATACAAGACTAAAATACCTTTATTTAATTCGTATTGAGAAAGAAATAAATATGAAAGACACTTAACCTCCATCTAATCTAATGTATTAAAAGTTAAGGATAAATTTGAAAGAAAAAATATTAATTATGTTTTAGTTTCATTAAACGACAGATATTATAAAACAAAAAAAATTGTATAAAAACGACAGATGTTTAGTAACGGAAGGAGCACTATCTTTGTGTTTCTTCCAACTTACAAATACACATCTAAGCAATTTAGACCCTTCTATGTATAAATCCAGTTTTAATTTGATTATTCCACATAATTTTAAATTTGGCATTCCATTGAAATTTTTTGAGAAATATTTCATTTACAAGATGAAATATTTCACACTTCACCTCTCATTACTGCCCTACCATTTGGGAACCTAAAAAAAACCCTAAGCATACATACATACATACATCTCTCTCTCTCTCTCTCTCTGCCAACGACCACCACCAATCACACAGGAGCCATCCACAATTCTAGTACGCCTATTTTCTCCCCTCCTGCATACCTGCAGTTGTGTTCTTCAATATCTGCAAAAGTGGTGTATAAATAAACTATGTTATTAATATTGGGTTGAAAAATTATGAGTACTACTATACTAACCAATAAGTTTACTAATGTTGTTTACTAAATTAGTGTAAATCATTAGATTAAAAAGTCCCATAAACTTTTTTCAATGGGACCATGGATTAATTTACATTGATGCAGAAACAAATTTGGGAAATTTGATAATTTTTTTTTGATAAACACATCATTATCCAAACATTATATGAATGTGGAAAACACAGGTTCAATGATTGTGAGTAAAATGATGCAGAAACACTTGGGTGTCGTTGATTGCTGCCTCAAGAAGGAAGGGAAGGGAAGTTCAGTTGGCAATCAAGATGACTTCAAACTTCAACTAGGACAAATACCACCCCCACCAACCATAAAGAAATTGATGCTTTGTCAATTAACCACTATAGTTTACAAATATCAACTTGCTCCCTTAGAAACAATTGTCAATTAGGAGGATGACCCCCCCCCCCCCCCCCCCACACACACACACACCCCTTCTCTCTCTCTCTCTCTCCTGGGTCTGTCAACATCACCTTTGGCCTTCCACCCTCCACAACACTCATTTGCCTCTCTCTCTCTCTCTCTCTCTCTCTCTCTCATCTCAATCCTTAGCAACATTATCATCCTAATAATGTTATACTGATCAAGATTTCTTATCAAATTTTTTATCCAAAGTAATGTGACACAGTTTTTATTATCAAATAAATAGATCTCATTAATATTCAAAAATTGTGTCAAACCAATTAGAATAACAAATTGATAAGAAATTTTATAAGTATAAAATGTAATGTTTTTTTAATAACTTGCTTCTCTGCCCAGAACATAGATAGATTGAATTACATAAAAAGAACATACAACACAATAATTGGTTGACAATGACCTATAGGACCTCACAATTGTCAAAATCATTGAGCTTTATATGCCCAAATTTCCTTGAGAAAAGGAGCGGTATCGAAACAAAAATATTTCGATATCATACCGAAAAACTGTTAATAGAGGACAAATTTTATAACAGTAATAGATAAAATTACCAAAATAATGGAAAAAATTACATCAATAAAAAATTTACAATAACAGTGGACAAAATTACAATATCAATGAATAATTTACTAATAGTGGGTAAACTTTTACCATCATTTGAAGTATTAAAACTATATTTGTGGGTTTGTGATCGATCACTAATATTGATTGATCGATCAATGAAAAAATTACAACATTAGTGAAAAAATTAATAATAGTAGTGAGCAAATTTACAATATCAATAGAAAATTTACAATATTAATAAAAAATTTACAACAAAAGTGGATAAACTTTATTCAATTTGGTGATAAAAATACGATTGATACTTCTAACCACATTTGTCATAAAAATAACACTAGTGCATCCCACTGATACCATAAATTTACCTTTAAGTTTGTATTATTATCCACGTTTCTCAAAATATTAACCAAAATGAAAGTAAAATTTGTTTATATACTAATAACTTTAACCACAATCATTCTAAGTGTGAGAAAAATTACT